CCCACATAGCCTCAAATGGAATTACCTCGGGATAACTGGATAAAAAGACAGCTGCTAAGTGTGGAAATGCTTATAGTCACGCATAATTACTTATTTGGTTTCTCGAAGTTTATGGTACAGCTAAACATTTAAACCTAGCACATTAATGCCAAACAAGTACTAGATTGTCGTACCTCTAATAATTTTACAAACACTTTCTACAGCAATGTTAGTCACAGAACTAAAAATTTAGCCTTAAAATAGTGTTTATTTGTTTTGTGGTAGAATTTTTCAGTCAAAACAATATCAGTATAAACATCCATAGAATAAAACAAATTATAAAAACGGGGAATTTCAAGAACATCCGTACCTCATTCACTTCTCCAAGTGCCATAAAGTGTGCATCAACAGTTTTTGAAATATTTCTTCTATACTCCATTCATAGTCCATTTACCCCCAAAGAAAACACCACATGTCCAAGAGCTTTTTCTAGTTTTCTAGTGTGGCATGCAGCATTATCAAGTACAATGACTGCATTGTCGTGAAGCTTTGGGAGCGTTTCTTCAAACCATCGACCAACCGATCCCTATAAAAAATGAGTGCAAGAATTTAGGAGTCTGGACTGATTCTGATTTAAGGTTTGAAAAACATGTAAGTCAACTGTGCCGAACATGATTCGGTATCTTGAAGCAATTATTTCCTCATAGAAAAAGTATGAATACTGGTCTCAAGCTGAAGTTGTGCGAAACCTTAATATGATCTAGAATTCACTACTGTGACTGTATTTATGGTCCTGCACTAAGATCGATTGAGATAAGGAGACTTCAGACTATTCAAAATGCGTGTCTTAGATTTGCTTGTGGAGTGAGAAAACTTAAGACAGTATCACATAAATATCATGAGCTGGGTGTTCAAAAAATAGAAGAGCTACAAAAAATGCACGTATTGACCTTGACACATAAAGTATTCACAACACAAGCCCCTCCATGTCTTTCAACCAAATTTATCAGATACTCAGATGTTAGTCAACTGAACACAAAGAATAAGTATATCTTGGTTATCCCGAGACATTCAACATCTCAATTTAAAAGGTCGTAACATATACGAGGGATGTCTTTTAAGTTTTGCATATGGAAATTAAACAACATAGTAGGTAGTTTTAAATGACTTTATTTCAGCATAAAAGCGCCACATATTTTCAGTCCGAAAATTTTTAGTGTGTACTGCACGAAACAAAACAACTGAAAACTTTTTTGTGTCTTGGCAATGTGGAGATAAGTTTTCATTTTGTTTTGTAGATCTCCGTAGTACCATCACTATACACGAACCATCGACTGGTAACTGAGATATTAATCAAACCCAAGCGAATAACCAAGATTTCCGTAATATGTACCGCGGTTATAATATGGTTCAAGATGACACACGGGATGATGACGTCAGTTACTCGAATCGCTTGAACGCGTTGGTTTTAACCGCGGTTTGTTTCAAGTTGTTTATTTTAGAAAAGCGCGTATATAACTTCTGATTATTTTTATTATCACTTAATAATCGGTGCTTTTTCGGCTACAACGGGGTATGGAAAGTTGAAAAAAAGAAACCTTTCATAGTATTAATGGGAGGAATTTTTTTTTTTCAGAAAAAAATGTTTACTGATGGAACCATGGCTTTGAAGCTATGATAACTTTCAACTCTCTAAACTTTTCCGCGTGTCAAAGAAAATATTTATTGGTTTAGCAGAAATGATGAAAAAGCCATGAAAAAAGATATTAACAAAACTGTATACAGGATGCTTTGCTAAGCATAGGAACTAGATTTAAAGTGTCCTCAACAACAGTAATGATTATAAGTAACAAGGTGCTCTCTTCTGCTAAAACTGAAGTCAGCCTGTATCAAGTTTCCAAAAAATTAAGCTGAAGTACAATAAAAATATCTAATACTCGGCAAAATTCTAACTTGTCACATGTCAAATAATAACCACAAATATAAAACTAATTTTGCGATGATAACTATGACATATAACAGCTGATTCATGATGTCACGGATCTTATAACCAAACTGATAACCACACTCGCTTGAACGGATCGGTAAGTACCAATCCAAAATGGTAAATACCATTTTCATTTGGTTATCCGCTTGAACTTGATTATAGTCAAAATCACGGGAGATGACTATTACGTCATACCATAAATTGTACTGAAGTAATCAATGGACGTACGTAGTTGATAAAATCACGATTTCAGGAACATAATCACAACAAATTTGTATTATCATTTTGTGAAGCTAGGTTATTTCACTGATTATTTTTATTTTCATTTTATTTCATGGTTTTGAGGATACCGTAATAATAATTTTAGTGGGGAGCTTTTGTTTTGAAAAAAAAAGTTTATGAGTAGAATACCTTAAGACAGGAACACCAAAGACCAAAGTATTATTCGAAAACCACCTAACCTGCTTTAACATAACCTAACTATTCATCTTTTAAATATGATCGATCATGCAACATGAAAACATCGTCTATCTTTGTCGGATACAAGCAAATTGGCAATACAAAGAACAGGACCAACAAAGCTGTGACAAATTCTCAATAATGAGGTTAAGGGATCTATTTTCATTTCGGATAATGTTTTGGATTCCGAAATACAGTACGTGATCTGCCATCTTTATGTAGAATATGTTTATCAATGCTAAACTAAGCAAATCCAACAAGAAAATATGTTCCCTATTTTGTTATTTTTGAATTGAAGTACGTTTTGTTTCGAAGCGGGGTCCTGCCAATTAGGCTTCTACCTCCGCGGCTGTTCCGGTGTAAAACAACAAGTACGTACCTATAGAAAGCCAAACGTGAGTTAGACTGATTAATGTTCGCATGACATAATATTTCAAATCTATTATCAATGAGAAGCAAAAGTATGTACGTCGAAAGCAAGTGGCTTGTAAAATTATCTGAATAAAGCATTGATCATCAGTTTGGCAATTATGAATCATGTTGTATCTAGAATTGAATATATTAGTTCCAATCTATTTATTGGCGATACATGCTTACATACCTTTCCGGTGCATAACCATAATGATAATGTGCTATCTCTAATTTAATATTCTCTTCACAAAATTGGCGATAAGAGCAGAAGCTTACGAATTCCTCCTATTGTTATAAAATGCCACTCACTTCCATTTAATTTTTTCAGGAATACTGATATTACTCCACTAATTTGAAAACCTGATGGATGCGATCCGAATTAAACAATTTTGAATACTGTTTTATTTAAAAAAAAAACTATTGCAGCCACGTACTCTGGTGTGATTTTGATAATGTTGCATGCGCTATTATATCAAAAAAGTGTGGAGGTTGAAAAATAAACATAAGGGATAAAAATGAAACAAACATCGGACTGTACAGTCATTTTATTAGATTTTAAAGAAAAAAATAAAACTTAAACATCCCTATATGATATATTGAAAGAAACCCTCTAAACGCCCGTTTAATGCTGATACTGTTTGATATGAAGAAATATTTTGTTTACTATTGAATCAGAACTACAAACACTCATTGATGAACAAAATTGTTAACAGCATAACACATGTGCTTGTCTCACCTGGCAGGTATACGCAAACATTGTTCTAATCATCTTATCATATTCTTCCGAAATTATAACGTACCAAATACATACCAACATTGAGATAAAAATCTATCCTATACCTACTGAAATAAAAGCGATATCAAAACACTAAATTCTAAATTTTATTAATAATAATACTTCATAGATTTGAGCTGGCTCATTTATGGAAAATACTTATTTTTGAAATCGCCATATAACCGAACATCAACAGTTCAGCTAAAATAATTAAATTATTAAATCGTTAGAATCAATTTTTCCAGAAATAAACCAGATCAAATGACTAAATTTAGATAAAAATATACTTCTGAGTAACAATTAAATTTAAATTAATACTAAGATAGTCTACCAGTAATAATACTTGACCTTTTTGACTTAACTGATTCTGAATTTACGCCAGTATAGAAAAAAATCGTATTTGGAAGCATCATTTACCAAAACATCAATAATTCAATTCAAGTTTATTAAAAAATGGTACTGGCTATTTAGAATCAATTATTTCATGAATATTTAGCTTAAACTAAGCACGAAAACATACTACCACAAGAATAAGTACATACTTTTTAAAAACATGCTAAATATTATATACTAAATTTATAGTAACTAGCTTTGGCATATCATAGTCTTTATATGCAGCTATATTTTTCTTGATAATTGTAAGTCGTATATTTCCCCTAATAGTAGAATAACAATATATAAGTAACGTGATATTGAGTTAAACATAGTAGAATAGCATGACAACAATAATATAGTTTTAAAAAATTAAACCTAATATTGAATAAGGAAGTGCTCTCAAAATCAAATCTGAGTCTTATGACACCTTTATTTGCAAATATGAATACACTCAGAAACATCTCTCCAAATAAGAGTGTTAGCTCCTGCATCATAGCCATTTGAGACACCATTTATACTGCACGGATTATTTACTTAAAGATTATGCAGTGCTTTTCACGCCCTTCCCCCTAGCTATGTTTTGAACAGATCAAGTTAGCAAGCTGAAATGTGAGTAATAAAATTGATGCATGAAGTTGAAGGTTTGAAGATAACGACTGGGCGCCAGTTTTGAACATATTTTAAATAGTGCGGAACGTGTTATACCTCATTATAAAGCTCTTAAGATTACCATATAACTCCAGAATATGAAACTACCATCTTTGAGAATGGTGAGCCGGTAGGTTATTGAGTTGACAACCAATCATAGAAACGCTATACAAATATTCCTTACTTGCAAGGATCTAGCCGAATATGTAATAAAATATATAACATTTAAATAAATTGTCAAAATCTGTTAGTTTTTCAGACTTATATTTTATTGCACATTCAGATAGGCCTTTTCAAAAGAAAAAGATTGACGTAACATACAGAACGCCCAAATTTGACAGCCTGCCAGTTTGAAATATAGTATTTGTGCGTCAATTTCAACCTGTCAAATTTCAGCCTGCTAGCTTGACCACCTCAAAAGGTAAATAGGCGGGACCGTTCTGGAAAGCACTATACACTTAAATCAAATGTTCCATACTTAATACTTATAGTATTCGTGGTGACCATTTTCAATATTCACATTCAAATGCAAAATAATTGAAATGTACGTATGTTAACTATAACCTTGACCCTGAAGTTTAAGTTTTTATACATGTTATGTGATGTATCATTTTAGAGACATTTATGAACAGGTGTTTAAGGGGAGGATTGAACTTAATTATGATTTTCAACATCATCTCAAGGCGGCATCATCTTATCAAAATAGCAGTTATGGTTTGGCAGTAATCTTATATCCTAAAAAGTATACGTTTTAAAAGTATCTGAAATAAATTTTATTGTTCGCTCCAAGGACAAGGTTCGAGCTATTTTTCTGACTTGTTTTCAGTATTTGGCGATTTTAAATTACTCTAAGATATTTAAATGTGAAGATAAAAATAAGCCACCGATTTTATAAAAACTGGTTATGCAATTCTTTGATATTAAATAAAAGTATTGGAGAGAGTGACTGCTTTTAGATGCGAGCAACATTTTTGAGAGGTAATGTGTAAAAATGAAAGGGTTGGAACCTATAGCTCTCCAAACGATCTTTCCCAAAATCAGTGTATGGGCGCCCGTATGTATTTTTCTTAGGGGGCCCGATCATTGGCAAGAGGTTGTTATGATATTTTACTTGCCTCCAAAACTATTTGAAGAGCAAATTTGCCTGGAGGAGGACAGATCCGAAAAATCCTCAAAACTGTACACACAATCATGCTAAATATGCAAATTTTGAGGTTTAACCAGGGTCACGCCTCACTGACCTTCCCTTGGGCCCACGACTTAGTGTGCGAAAGTTTTGAAGTTTCTAGAATACATAATGAAATAATTCATTCCACATTATCCCTCAAGGATTTCCCTGACCTCCTAAACTTCCAAAACTTAGGTTATCTGTCATACTAATTCGAATTGTCAATAATTATTATTTTTTATCGTGAAGCATTTAAACACAACTATCTGCTTGAATGTTTATGTCGGTGATGGTAAGTTTAATAGAAACTGATTTCTTCTATAAATGTCTTTTACTTAAAGATATCGTCTTGAGATATTATGAAAATAATAAAAAGAAGGCACACTCTTCAATATGTAGTTATGGCTAAATATGCATTTTTAAGTATTTTACAGTTGTTTTGTTAAAATGTATACCGAGAAATAGACTGCCAGTACAAAAACAGCAGCAAATATTACAAAAATTTTGAGGAATATTACTTTGCAGTGATCGCAAGGAGGCATGATTCCAATTGGGGTTAAAGTTGAAAAAAGTAAATGAAAAAAAATGGGAGGTTAGCTAAAGGAAACCACGTAATAATTTTACAAAAGTGTGAAGAGCCAAACGTAGGCAGAGGTGATTGTACCGAACACCAAGGCAAGTGCGACAAAGATTTCCAAGGAAACTATTTGGCAAGCTTCTATATTTGCAGGCACTATTTCAGCTGGACTACCGGAAAAAAGAGACTTGCCTAAGTAGACAAACATTAGATGAATTTCGATGTTGAGTTGTAGCCGCAGAAGCAGGCTTAAGACGTTATTCGACCTGAAAAAGTACAGTCTATTGTCACAGCATTACGATGATATTCTCCATAGTAAAAAATTGAATTTGTAGTCGTGTTTTATGTTCTCAGACAGAGACAGAACTAGCCAAAGATCATTTTTCCAATTTCACGTACTTTGCAGAAAACGATACTTTGAACAATCTTAGAGCGCTTTCCAAGTTTGAACAACATTCTATTTTCTGACGAAGTTCATTTTCATTTGAAATTACCGAATTACACCACCAACAGCCTTTGCATTCGCGTTATGCTACAGTTTGTAGGGCCATGTCGGCTGAAGGGATCATCGGATCTTATTTCTTCTAAAACGAGCAAGGCCAGACTGTAGCAGTAAAGTAGGGTAGGTAAAGTTCGGTTAGCTATAAAAGCGTGTGTATTAGTTTGTTCAAACTATTATTCATTTTTCATTTCTTAGTTCTATTTATCAATTAGTTTTTGTGGACATGTGGTACTGAAATGCCTTACGAATCATTTCGGAATCTAATCATTTCATTTAAAGCTTCGCTGTTGCGTGGGGTTTTTCCTCTTAACTTAGAGGAATCAAGTTCTTACGTAAAATTACAGATGTTAATGAACTATGCGAATACATTTTATGCTTTTTCAATATTTGATATTTATTTTCCTAAATATACGCATACCTGCAAATTCAGGTATCCTCCTTGGTATACTGGAGAAATTATGAGTAACATAAATTTGAAGGATTACTACTACAAAAAATATAAGAGAACAAGCAATGTTTACTATTACAATGAGTTTTCTAGATTGCGCAGAATCATAAAGGGGCAAACTAGAGTTGCTTACATTGAGTACTTGTCCTCGGTCGAGGACAGTATAGTCGACGACCCGAAGAAGTTCTGGTCATACATTCGGAACAAAAGAGACTCTAGCAGATTACCAGGCCAAGTCCAGTTCAATGGCAACGTATTTAATACTCCACAAAGGTGTTATTGATGCATTTGCTGACTATTTTAAGAGTGTGTATTTTACTCCGCGAAATATTCCCTCTTCTTTAGATAGCGTCACCTCAACAACATGTATTTATCTAGAGGAATTAACGGAACCTCCCTCAGCTTCAAAATAAACTTACGTCTGGTAGAGATCAAATACCTAGTTTTATTATTAAAGATTGTGCTCATGTCTTCGTCAAGCCGATGGTGATAATTTTCAATGCTATATTACAAAGTGGAATTTTTCGTGATGTTTGGAAGATAGCAAAGGTGTGTCCGGTCCTGAAACTTTGCAAAGGCTTTGGAAATGGCAATTTACTCTTTTATCTTCGAGAACGTTAAAAGCCTAATTACACCATCACAGCACGGTTTCTTCAAAGGTAGATCCACTACGTCAAATTTAATGATAATTACGCAGTATATGTACAGGGTTATCCAAATTAAGTGTCCACCATTAGTAACTTTGTTATTAGTGAAAATACAAAGTTGTTTGAATTAGCAAACTAGTAGCATTTTTAACGCTGGTAAAAATGAGAAATAAAAAAAAACAATTGAGAGTCGTTATTTTGATTTTTTCCAGTAAAATAACATTTTTTTAAATGGAAACCCCTGTATATTATATTTTTTTCTGTTAAAGCATCAAATTTTAAACAAAAAAGCTTACAATAACTTTTCTCCTAGGTTACAAATTGTTGAAGTTATGGCCTCCAATCTCAAACAATTAAATTGTATCGACAAACTTTATTTTCAACATCAACTTATAATCTTACAAAATACAATAACAATTTTTTTTAAAGAAGATGCTCGAAAACACCACCTTGTTCTTCAATACATTTTTGGGCACGTTTTTCAACTGCTCGAACTGTCTTAAGTATGGTCCTACCATCTATCTGGGTTATCTTTTCCCTAACTGCAGTCTTTAACGCGTCAAGGTTATCGTACCTTCGCTTGTAAATTTGGTTCTTTAAGTAACCCCACAAGAAGTAATCAAGTGGGTTTAGATCTGGTGATCTGGGAGGCCACTGTATTCCTATCCACTGATCATTAAAAGTAGTACTTAGAAAATGATAAGTACCTCTGGAGTTGTGGGCAGGTGCGCCATCTTCAATTCGTCTAAGAAATTAGTCAGAATTTCTGACATAAATTCCACATATCTTTCACCAGTTAGGGTTCCCTCATAAAAGAACGGGCCTACTATTTTTGAACCAATTATACCGCATCAAACGTTGAAACTGAAACGGACTTGTGGGCCTCTTGGATGTACTAACAAAAGATTTTCTCTCGACCAATAATGGTGGTTTTTTCTATTAAACATTCCAGAATTTGAAAAATTTGATTCATCTGTCCATAAAAGGTAACGAAAGTTATTTACATTTTGGCGACAGAAGCTAAGATACCAATGGCAAAAAACAAGTCTTCTCTCTGGATCCCCTGCCAAAAGCGTTTGAACTGGTCGGTACTTATACGGAATAAATTTGTATTTTTTTAAAATCCTTTGAACAGTACCATAACTGAAATTAGAGTCCTTGAGAATATCTGCTATTGAATTCTCACGATAAGCTTCAAAATATCCAATAACTGCAATTTCCGTGGCCTCGCTTATTATGAATTCTTTTTTTGCCCTTGTTTTAGCAAAAACATTTTCGTTGCCCCTAAATTTTCGATAAAGTCTCAGAAAATATCGTTCATACGGTTGAATGCGAGCGGGATATAATTCACTGTTGTAGTATTCTCTTGCTCTCAAGGAGGATTTTCTGCACACTAAATAGCATTCTAACATATCACACTTTTCTTCATGCGAGAACATTTTTCTTTAAATTAATGACACAATAAAGCTTATAAACACGTATTTACACTAATGTTTGACATTATTTGATTTTGTCATTGTTTTCCAAAGCCTTCTAGTTGCGAGTATGTCCAGTTTAACAATTTGTCGCTTATCTTAATGCTGTCAAATCGCGAACGCCATGTTGTTTTCATAGCCGTCTTAATATTATAATACTGCAAATAATTAAAAATATTTATCGTTATTTTGACTTTATTTTTGACTTTAGCGGAAAAGTCACTATGAACTTTTTTGTTTAAAATTTGATGCTTTAACAGAAAAAAATATAATATACAGGGGTTTCCATTTAAAAAAATGTTATTTTACTGAAAAAAACGACTCTCAATTGTTTTTTTTTTATTTCTCATTTTTACCAGCGTTAAAAATGCTACTAGTTTGCTAATTCAAACAACTTTGTATTTTCACTAATAACAAAGTTACTAATGGTGGACACTTAATTTGGATAACCCTGTATAGCAGAATCGTTACACAATAAACACCAAGTCGATGTTATTTACATGGATTTCAGCAAGGCTTTCCACAAATTAAACCATCATCTTCTTGTGGATAGCCTTCATTATTTCGGCCTTGGTGACTTGTTAGTCGGTCTTCTAAGCTCATATCTTTCTAATAGGACGCAATATGCTTATTATAATGGTTATTCTTCAGCTAATTATACTGTTCCCTCTGGAGTACCTTAAGGTTCAAAACTAGGTCCCTTGCTGCTTTTATTCTTCATAAATAACCTAGCCGCTTCGCTAAAGTGTGAATATCTACTATTTGCTGATGATCTGAAAATCTACATCAAAATTACAAATTTGGAGAGCTGTGTTTCCCTTCAGGACGATCTGCGTACCATCACACAGTGGTGCGACAATAATATTCTCTTCTTGAATATTTCCAAATGCAAAGTATGTTCATATTGTCGTAAAATGAATCCGATTATTTTTGATTACTCCATAAATAATGCGGTTTTGGGCAGAACAACAGAGACTAAAGATCTTGGTGTAACATTTTCCTGTAGATTGGACTTGTCTGCCCATGTAGCACACGTCACTTCCGAAGCGACACGGATTCTGGGTTGCATAACGCGTAACTGCCGATCTTTTTCCAACGAAGCGGCACTAAAAGCTCTTTTTATCTCACTGGTGCGACCAAAACTTGAGTATGCTTTCTTTAATATGGAATATGGAACCCTTTCTATGCGTATTATACAGGGTGGCGCATCGGAAACAAAGCAAACGCATTTACTGGCAGCTCACTTTTTTTGAAAAACCGGTCAGACCCGTCGATTTTGTTTTCGAGGGGGACACAAGTTTGGCAGAAAATCACGTTAATACGTGCAGCCCCCTGGGCGGGGGTGACACCAACCCTGAAATCTTAAATGGAAAGGGGGGTCAAGTGACACTTTATTCTAAAGATCTTTCAATTTCCTTTATAATGGTATAAAATTACTGTACTTCAGTTCAGTAGTTTTGAAGATTTATTGATTTAAAGCTTAAAGTAGACTTTAATAGGTACATCAGATTATTTTGTACTACTTTCAGAAGAAATTTGACTAAAAGAATTTACTTAATAAGTAAATGCTTTTCTTCACTACGCCCATGGTTTGTTTATTATTTTGTTGTTGAAAATAGCTATTGGAGCTTTTTTTGTGGCATAAAAGTTATTTCTTGAAGAAAGATAAGGAAATATCTCGTACTTATTTTAAATAGGAATTTAGTACATAGTTTGCGATTGATTTGACCAAACTTTTTTGCTAAAATAACTTGTAACGCTTTATTACATAAATTAACCATGGTATATTCCACAGCAGAAAGAGTTGAAATTATCGAAATATTTTTCGGAAATAATCAATGCGCTAATAGAACAGCAGAATTATTTAATGATCGACATGAGAACAGTAACGTGCATCGAAAATATGTTCTAGAACTTGTAGCTAAATTTCGGGAAACTGGGTAGTAAATCGTCACAACTGCCGATATTGGTCCGATTCTAATCCCAGAATTTATCATGAGGTTCATACACAGCAGCCACAAAAATTAAATGTTTGGGCTGGTATTTTTGGCGATCATTTAGTTGGTCCTTTTTCATGACCTGGAAATTTGACCGGTGAAATGTATTTGGAATTACTGGAAGACGCGATAGATCCTGGATTAACAGCCATAATTGAAAATCGGAATGATCGGCGGTACATTGCGAATAGGTTGATGTTCCAACAGGATGGTGCCCCACCACATTACGCATTACGTGTTCGACAATATTTAGATCAGACGTTTCCAGATCGATGGATTGGTAGAAGAGGTGCCATTGAATGGCCTTCAAGATCGCCAGATTTATCACCTTTGGATTTCTTTATGTGGGGTCATTTAAAAAGCAAAATCTATGCTACTCAGCCAACATCATTAGAAGACCTGCGACAAAGAATTGTGAATGAGTGCCTTCAAATTACTCCTCAAATATTGCAAAATGCTATGAGTAAAATCTTTATTATTGCATGGAGAGTCATGGTGGCCATTTTCAATATTTACTTGCCTAACGGGCAGTTCATTCTTCATTTTTAAATTACTTTGCTGCCAAATGTATTGATCTCCACTAATGATGATGTATTAGTTTTATTTAAGCTTTAAATCAATAAATCTCCAAAACTACTGAACTGAAGTACATTAATTATATATCATTATAAAGGGAATTGAAAGATCTTTAAAATAAGATATCACTCGACCCCCCTTTCCAATTAAGGTTTTGGAGGTGGTGCCACCCCCTCTTAGGGGGCTGCACGTGCTAACGTGATTTTTTGCCAAACTTGTGTCCCCCTCGAAAACAAAATCGATGGGTCCGAGCGTTTTTAAAAAAAAACTGAGCTGCCAGTAAATGCGTCTGTTTCGTTTTCGATGCGCCACCCTGAATAAATATCTTAGAAAATGTACAAAGAAAATTTCTTAAATACTGTGCTTATAAAATCGATGGCACCTATCCAAAAAGGGGGCTCTCTCAATTTGTTCTGCTGCGTCGTTTTGAACTAGAGTCTCTACAGTTAAGACGTTCCACTGCTGGCCTTGATCAGTTTTTGCACGACAGAGTGGATGCACTAGAACCTCTCCAGAGGTTAAATTTCTGTATCCCACGGTTAAATACGAGAACTCTAACTTTCTACTGCAGTACCTCCCGTACCAATGTATCATTTTATTCTCCGCTACATTCTATATGCAACAATTATAATTACCATAGCAGACAGTTATGATATTAATTTTGATTGTATCAGTAAGATCTTGTCGAATTTCAGGTACTATTATAACAGCTAATTCTGTTTTTAAGCTAGTTTTATGTATACATTATATGTATGTATTATAAGTAAGGATACCATGACATTGTCCTCTAATTGGAATAATTCTGTAGGGTATAAAAATAAAATAAAATAAAATCCGAATAATGTCTAAAGATCTTACACACTAAGTGCAACATAAGCTTGTCCAGCAGCGAACAGTCGCGACCCTAGATAAATGACTGCATGATCGACAGTACAACCTTGCATCTTGTGGACGGTCGAAGCCCAACTCAGGATTAATAGCAACATTCGCAATGAACAAAGTGAGAATTCACTACCTTGAAAAAGTATCTGCCTCCGTTGTGCAGTGCCGAGTGCCCAAACCAACAAAGAGTAAGTCCCAAACTGCTCGCATGCGCAGATCGCGCGCTAGCTCTATCTCTCTTACTCCTCTACACAGGATCTATAAAAGAATTTATCAATCCTGGCGATTCTAATAAGGATAATGTAAAATTGTCATCAAGCCTTAATCAAACTTCTGGAAATTGGTGAAAATTATGCTCAAAGAATTCGTTACATACATACATGCAGGCCAAGCTAATAAAAAATCGTGTTAAATATATACGTATACATTATCTTGCCGATGCTTTGTAGTTTTTTTTATGATTTTTCAAAACGTGTACAACTTATTGAGAAGCTTCCGATCCCGGTAATAATTTGAAATATGAGCGAACGATCCTTCTATGTAAGATCAATGCCGCAGCAGAAACAGGCAAACAGTACTGCCATAATAAACACGAGAAACGTAATGGCGGCGCAGTAGAGGAGTGGCCAAGGGTGTCCGAGGTTGGACCGACGTCACGTAGCAGGATGCGCATTCAGTTCTTACTCTAAAAATGACCCTCGTAGATCGGAAGATAGTTGCCAAGCCGTCAAGAAATAGCAGAAATAACTTACCTAGGAGCCGACGTACCGCCGCAATAAGTACCCTATCAGAAACAAGATGAAAATTACAGCAAGTACTGCAACCTGAGATTTCAGTAACTTCTATAGTCTTCGCTCCTTCTCGCAGGTACAACATGCCTGCTTGCTAGAAAAGTTTAATAAAACTGTGTACAATAATAATTGAGTGACGTCCTCCCCATCTTAGGGTAAATTGGAACAACTGCCAATCACGCGATCGTTTTGATAAGTCTAGCTTAATCCTCCATGTTTGTCTGGCCGAATCAAACCTCAGTATTATACAATGACTAACAAGATGCGTCCTAGCGCACATCCTGTTTCGATGGATGGCCGAGTTCTACAAAGGAGCCGCTCATTTTGGCTGGTCGGATTTGAGATCACCGAGAACTTGATCTGGCACGAATGTCCAGGTGGAGGGTGGGCTCGAGGGAACAACATCGAGGATGAAATTTGTTTTTCGAACATCTGCGGGATTAACAGCAACATTGATGCTGTTCATCACTACCTGCAATTCATCGTCCCGCCATGCTTTTCTTGGCGAAGACAAAAATCTCAGAGTCTGCACCGATTAACCATCTTAACTTCGAAAACTACGAGAAAGAACGGGAGAGTTGTGGCTTTTGTCCGCAGCAGCCTTTACTGCTCCAGAGATGTTTCTTTTGAGTCAGACCGGAATTACATTCTGTGGCTTCGCCTCAACTCCAAAACATCACCCAAATTTATCCGCTGATATAAAAGCTAGGCACAGGGTAATGTCGCAGCACAATGGCAGTCAGTCTTTCTGGACGCTAGCCAAGCTGATTGAAAAGAACTTCTCACACAGTAGCCTTCCACCACTTACGTGTCAGGATGGAACTATTGTATTTGACTCAAAGGCCAAGGCGGAAGTGATAGCCAAGATCTTTGCTGCCAACTCCACCATGGACGTCACCCCAACGCCCAAGTGCCGTCAATTCAAAGGGTTCCCTACACATGCGGGAGGTAACATTCAGGCATAAAGCTTGTGGTCCGGACTTGATTCCTGCCATTGTACTGAAGAGGTGTGCATCTTATGAATCCGGCACCTTCCCGAAAACTGGAAATTTGCTCATGTCCAACCCATCCCAAAAAAAGGATCTAAGGACCCTTACAACTACAGGCCTATAGCTCTGCTTTCTGTTATAAGTAAGGTGATGGGGAGGTGCATAAATCGCGAGCTTCTGGACTACCTCAAACGTCACAGGCTGATTAGCGACAGGCAGTATGGTTTCCAGCACCAACGATCCACAGGGGACCTCCTAGCTTACGTCACGCAATTGTGGAGTAAACTCATCCAGTCTTATGGTGCAGCTCATGTCGCTGCTCTTGACAAACAACCTCCTTTCCTGCACGATCAACCCAGTCCATAGCTTCGCTGATGACAGGACTCTACATGCAGGAATTCAGAGTGACAAGCCGATCTCTGCCGCAGAGCTGGAAAAAAGAAGACTAGCGACGACTTCCTCTCTGACAAGAGACCTGGAGGCTATCACTGCTTGGGGAAGTACCGATCTTATACAGTTCAATGCTTAAAAAACACAGTACTCTACTTTGACGAACAAAAAGCGTCCTAGCGCTCATCCAGTTTTGATGGATGGCCGAGTTCTGCCAAAAAGCAATTCATTTCGGCTGGTCGGAGTCCAGGTCACCGAGGACCTGATCTCGCACGAGTACATCTCCTCAATAGCTGCAGGTGCTGGGAAAAAGCTATGCTATTTGTTTAGGGCTAAGAAGTACTTTTCTCCGCATGACCTTCTCACTCTATACAAGGCCCAGATAAGGCCTAGTCTCGAGTATTGCTCACACGTTTGGGGTGCTGCCGCCCCGACTACATTATCTATGCTCAATGCTGTCCAGAGGAGGGCGGTCGGACTGATCGATGACTCTTCTCTAACAGACAGTCTCGGACTATTTCGCACCGGCGGGCCGTTGGCGATCTAGCTCTCTTCTACCTCTACAACAACGGGCTTTACACCTCAGAGCTCTCTTCCATGATGCCGCCGCGCTATGTGCCTGCCAGACAGACCCGCCTAACTTTGGCGTCCCGTCCTAACCGTGTCGAAGTTCGTACATCCAGAACTGGCCGATACGATCGCTCCCTTGTCCCCAGGGTATCGAGATTGTGGAATAGTCTAGTAGCGGTGCCCTGCGCTAAGGCTTCGGTGGAAAAATATGAGGCTGGATTCGGCTAGACAAAAGTGATTATCTGCATGAAAATCAGGATAAGTTTCAGATGTTACACATCAGGAGCACGAGCACGTGAAAACGCCGTCACAAACTGGTCATCAGATCAAAATCTCTAGATCCCCTCATGCTTGAGATTTATTGATGCAGCTCCTAAAACTGATCTTGCGGATGTCTCGCAGATTTCTTTCCATGTTCCATGTGGAAAGAAAAATCTTACTGCATTTCGCCCACCTCGGTGAAAAAGACCACCACCGAAACGACAACCAGATTTTCCTTCAACGTATATGGTTTCATTTAACAGCCAGTGAAACATAAATATGAATCTTCCATTTAGTCTCTTTTTGATTTTGTGGCGGTATGAAAAAACAAAATTTGCGATCCCATTTTTCATATTTCAAATGCAAATCTACCAATATGCGTAAGCGATATTATCCAGTAAACAACGTCCGATGATTCTTTATTAATTTGTTGTTACGAATATTAAAACATATTGCCCCATATTTTGAAAATCAGAGCGGAAGGAATTTCTGTTTGTGGATATTTCATCGATGTTTCTCAATCGGTTTTTCCAAATTCAAATTATTTAAAAATATGAATACAAATAACCATACTAGTTTCATTTAAAACAAAGTTTATTTTAAGACGATTGTAATAAAGTTACCACACTTTTGAGGTAGATTTCATTTCTACCGTCGGACGGACTTTGCTTTGAAATAATTTGAGAATCCCACGTATATTTATTTTCCTGACTAGCTCGGTCATAAAAATTTTTTGCATTATAACAGCAAGATACATAGAGTTGAAGATATGTTATCTGAAAACAATGTTTCGAAGACTCTCTGAATAAGTCAAATAACTAGTCCCAAATACCTTAGTATCTAATATACAGGGTGTTCAAAAAATAGACGGAGATATTTTAGAGGGTGAAAATATCGAAAAAAGTTTCTATAAACATGGATCCGGAAATGCATGCATGAGTTTCCAAGGTACTGGGTGATAATTTTTATTCGACTTTTTAGAGAAATTTCGCAAATAAAATTACAGAAATTATTTTTTTTGCAAAAATTAACAAATCAATTTTATGTAGTGACATGCAATTAAACGATTTTATTTTTTTTTCTCGAAAACGAAGTGAGATACGAAAAAAAATACAAGCGGCAAAGAAGTTATATTTTTATATGCTTAATCAAACAACTGTATCTTGAGAACCCATGCTTATATAAACCTTTTTTCATATTTTTTAACAAAGGAATCACCCTCTAAAATATGTCTATTTTTCGAACACCCTGTATACTAAGGGACATATAAAATGCAACACCCAGAATTATTTATTGGATTTTGATAGAAACCTCATCCTGAGTAAATCTGCTCCAGTGGTCTCCTCGATCTCCAGACCTTTCCCCCATCGAACATGTATGGGACATGGTGGAAACAAGGTCGCAAAATTCACCTCACAAACATTGAAGGCTCTACGAAACCAAATTCTATGTCATTCAGCATATATTGGCGTTAAGACTACAGAGACAATTTTTCTATCATGTAAAAAATAGTCTTCTCATTTTACTTTCTGAGGCCTGAAAGGGGGGCGGCTATCCCCCTTACCTTTCCTGAATACGTTCATGTGGGACAAAAAGTAAAAATTTATCAACATTCATGTCGAGTACTTCCAAGGCTATATGGGTTTTCTCAGTTTGCGGCAACGCTTTAACGGGCCCTCAAATTGGATAAAATCAAGAGCTATTTTAAATAGGCTGAGGGTCGAACATGATTAAATTCTTCAATAATCCAGAATGCAGGATTCGAAATGCGAGATACCAAAGCCTTGCCGCCTACATACATACCGGGTGTATAGTTAGTAGTGGGTTAACGAAGTCAGGTGATAGAGGACCTTAAAACATATCGAATGAACCCCTATATGTGTGGTCCGAAATTTTATAGTTATATTTGGGTGCCCACAGGGCGGTGTCAGGGGAATCGTGGTAACAGTTATCTCTTGATGATGATCAGCACCACTGAGAAAAATTCCTGTGGGTACCGGTGGACAATAATATTATTGTTCTAATAAAAAAAAGAAATATGTGAATTGTAGTAACATATCAACACAATTCAATTTTTTTCTAATTTTCAGTTTATGCAGGTGCCAACAAGGGCTCGGAAATGAAAACATCTGGACCATAATAATGTTAATACTGATATGTTTGTAGAAAAATGTATGAGATTCGTATATCAAATATATACATATTTAGGTATTTGCAGTTTACGTTTTTCTTCTGAACCTTTCCAGATTAGTAAGTAGATATGAGTTATCTTATAACAGCTTGTGTTATTGACATTGCTATTTTAACATACAAAAAAAAATTATTGTTCAAGAGAGCGCAAAATGTAATAAGATCTCCCATATCCCACCAAATTCATATATATAAAAGTATAGTAATTTTAGATTTATATGTAGAGCTGGCAACGTTGCGGGATATTAATGTACAGTCTGGCAACCATGTCGCACCCTCAAAAAATGGCCGCTGACAACCACACAAGTCACCGTGTTGCCATTGAGTAGCATGGAATTAAACCTTTTTCAGTGTATATCTTTTGTGACTTAGACAGCCTTTCCTGGGCGTGGGATAGGTAGAGTTGGACACATACGATGGCCTCCAAGGTCACCCGATTTAAATCCTCTAGATTTTTTATATGGAGGTTTAATAAGGGGATAATCTATACATCTGAATATACAAGTGTCAACCAACTGCGCCAGAAAATTGATGAAGTAAAAAATAAAACTTATGGAAAACGCAAATTCATTTCAAATACTAGACATTTTTTTATATAGAAAATAATGGAGGCCATTCCGAACATGTTCTTCAAAAGTTAGTTAAATCAAATTGTCTTCCACATTTGTCGGTAAATCGCCATGAAGAGCGACGAAACACAACAGGTTCTGTACTTGTAGGTGGTAAGTATTCTGTTGCGTTTCTTACGTTTATCGCATCACAACAACGAATGTGACATGATACACTCATCGTAGCAACCTGAAATTTTCAGGGTTTATTCTACATGGATTTAAATAGATTTTACAATAAAATGAATAATGAAATACAAACTCAATTTTTTACCGCCCTCCACAATTGAGGGATGGAAGTAATGTTTCACAAGAAAATGAATTTCAATATTTTTTTGCGTTTATTTCTAATAGGCTCTGTTAAAAAGTGACATAACCATTGCTAAAACTAACCATTTTACTCATCTCAGAAAAGAGTCACAGCCCTAAACCGAATGATTTAGTTGTAATTGCAGCTGAGAGTTCATAGTCCCGTTTTTTTTTTCGAAATTTCAAAAAATTGCAAATATCTCCTGAACTACTACTACTAAAATTTCGGACCACCTGTATAGGTGTTCATTCCATAGGTTTTGAGGCCGTTTATCACCTGACTTCCGTTGATCCACTACTAACTTTACACTCTGTACCTATAGTCACAGCTATAGTATAAGATTGACTACAGCAAAACTGGAACTCTTGTGAGCCACATCTCGCATTCTGAATCAACGTGTATTCGAGCTTTATACCCCCTACCTTCTCATGCGAAATGTTTCACAGCAGGTAGGGTCTTCCTCGTCCTCGTGCTCGTCCTCGTGCTCCTCCTCGTCGTCCTCGTCCTCTTCAGGCTCCTCAGGAACTTCGGGCACTGTAGGAAGTACATCAGGCTCTTCAGGAGGAGATGGGTCATCTGGAATATATGGCACGACTACGTATATAAGGATGATACCGTGGGGATATGTGGAAAGGGCTTCGTCCTGATTACGTCTTCTAAATTTACCACCTTCTTCCGAGATGTCTTTATTGGGGCCCTCATGTTCACTCTGCAAAAATGTCAAGTAGATTTAACTGACGCATCGGTATAGCTTAGAATACTACGGTCTAGGAAACTCCCATCGTATGTTGTCTTCACATCCTGCTAATTATACAAGGTAAAACAAAATAGATAATATGGTTTGAATTGTTCATAGCAGCAGATTGATGGATGGAATTATCGAACGTTTAGATTGAGAGTTTCAGAAGTCTAGTTTCCATTCATCGGAATCCAGCAATGGTGCTGTAATGGGAGCTGTCAAAAACTATCCAAACCTGTAGTTTCAACGGGATTAAACTACTCACTTTAACCGGCTCTGTTATCAAATTTTTGAGAACTACATTATATCTTTTGTTTTTTTTAACACGCTTAGGCCTGTATGTATGCATGTAACGGAATCTTTGAGCATAATTTTCACCAATTTCCAGAAGTGTGATTAATTTGAAACGTATCAAGCACCCATGATAATGCAAGAATTTGATAACAGTTTTCCATTATCCTTATAAGAAAAATTCTGCAAAAAGCAGATTGCTAATAAAAAGCCACGGACTTTAAATGCCGCTTTACGAACATTGGAATCAGAAGTTTCTGTAGCCCAAGTGGTAAAGCACTGGACTCGTAAACAAGAGGTCGTGAGTTCAATCCTCACAAGAGGCAGATTTTGGTATACTTTTTTTTTACTTTTTAACACGCTTTTATCAGCTTGACCTATATGTATGCATGTATGTATGTATGCTTGTATGTATGTATGAATATATATATATATATATACAGGGTGTCCCGAAAAAAGTGTTCAATATTCTACCAGCGGTTTCTAGAGCTTAGAATAGGAAGAAAGTTTATATAAACATAGGTCGACAAACGTCCCCTAAGGGCGCTACGGTCTTTTAAAGGGGCTCCCCTGAAGATGGTTTTTCCTTAATATTTCCGAAACGTGCTGAGATAAAGACATAAAATTTGGTATTCTAGCCTAGTTTTTTATGCTGGATTCAAAAATATTAACAATTTTATACAGTTTGGTTTGGAAGCGTATGTAACAGGGACGAACTCAGGTTATTTTAGCCCCAACGTTTTTGTGTAATTCTATTTTTGAAATTCAATTTTAGAATTTGAAAATTTGGGATCTTCTACATAAAAAAGGTACTCTTATTTAATATCGTTAAATTGTGCCATTTTTGAATAAAATCAAACTAAAGAATTTGTCACATGATAGGGAATGTACTGCGAATTTAAATGAATTGTTGATTATACATAGTTAGCCATGACTGCAAACAAAAGTTGTTTTGATTTGTTATGACTTATTTTGACGTTAAGCTGACATTGTTAGCAGTGTAAGATTACTAGATTAAAGTCAAAATTTTTATTAAATCGATTTAAGATGCCAAGATTTACAGACATAGAACTGACTGACATGCATTTTGTGTACGGGTTTTGCAATGGCAGTTCATTGGCAGCCGTAAGAGAATATCAAAGAAGATTTCCCATAGTACCTGGTCGTCGAATGTTTACTGATATTCACCGGAATTTGTCAAACCATGGAAGTTTTCAGCGCATGCAGGACTCAGGAAGGCCACTGGGAAATCATCGTATAGATATTGCTTTAAATATGTTTGAAAATAATCCGCAAATAAGCATACGAAATGTTTCAGAAATTATGGATAAACCTCGATCAATAGAAAAATTTATGAATACCTATTTTATAGTTATCCTAAAAATAATAATTTTATATAGGAAGAATGACAAGAATGCAAGGTTTACATCCTTATCATTTTAAACGGGTGCAGCACGTAACGGAGGCAGATTTTTTACCACGAACCGAGTTTTGCCAGTGAATATTAGCAAATGAAAACGCTATTCTTAGAATATTATGGTCGGATGAGTCAATATTTACTAGGAATGGTGCATTAATTTCCGTAATATGCATCACTGGTCAGATGAAAATCCAAAAGTTGATCGCTGTACAAATTCCAACATAGATTTTCGTTGAACTTATGGGCAGGAGTAATTGGGGATCAAGTAATTGGGAAGTATCCCAAACGTCTTAATTCAGAGGTGTAGCTGAACTTTCTTCAGAATGAGCTCATGGATATAATACCATTGGATGCGCACCAGCAGTTTCAAGAAAATATGTTTTTTCAACATGATGGCGCCCCTGCACATTTTGGACGCAATGTTCGAAATTGGTTGAATGTCAATTTTCCAGACAGGTGGTTAGGCCGAGGAGGTCCTACAGCGTGGCCGCCACATTCTCCTGACCTAAATCGATTGGATTTCTATTTCTAGGGGTCATTAAAAGAACTAGTTTACTCGAATGAAGTAAATACTCAAGAAGATTTACTTCAAACAATCCATCAGGCTGCAAATGAAATAAGAAGAAAAAGGTTTTCCACTTTTCGGGCTACGCAATCATTAGTTCGTCGAACAAAATGGGAATTTATTTGAACACTTATTGTAAAGCTAGTTTTAAGTATATCCAACTGTATGTCTTCTTTTTTAAACAAATTTCAATTTCGTTCGTAGAAAAAATTTATTTCTTTTGTTTTTGCCTAAATGTTAGCTATGTTGCAATAGAAATATGTATTCATGTAATATTTACCTATTATTAAATTAGTTTTTTCGTTCTCATGGCTAATTATTCAACAATTCATTTGAATTCGAAGTACATTTCCTATCATGTGACAAATTGTTTAGTTTGATTTTATTCGAAACTGGCACAATTTATCGATATTCAATAAGAGTACCTTTTTATTAAGAAAACCCTATATTTGCAAATTCTATTGAATTTCAAAAATAGAATCACACAAAAATTTTGGAGCTAAATTAACCTGTCCGTCCCTGTTACATACGCTTCCAAACAAAGCTGTCTAAAATTGTTAATATTTTTAAATCCAGCATAAAAAACTAGGTGAGAATACCAAATTTCATGTCTTTATCTCAACACGTTTCGGAAATATTAAGGAAAAACCATCTTCAGGAGAGCCCCTTTAAAAGACCGTAGCGCCCTTAGGGGACGTTTGTCGACCTATGTTTATATAAACTTTTCTTCCTATTTTAAGCTCTAGAAACCGGTAGAATGTTGCACACTTTTTTCGGGACACCCTGTATATATATATATATACACCTTAGGAAAAACCATTGTTATACATGGGAAATCAGTTCTTGGCAACAGCGCATCGGCTCGTCTACTTTCATCGCTATTCGTACATATTTCCTACCGTTAACCGCAGACCTGTATCACGAATGAGAATAATAGGCAGATACGCTGTGTTGCCAATTTGAGTAGAGCTTCCCGAATTGCGGGGAATTTAGAGTTAAGTGTTGATTCATTCAAGCTTTTAATCAGCATGGCCTAGACGTTAGAACTTCATAAAGATAACATTGAAGCTGAATGCTGCTGGAGTATAGTGTTTCGAATATTCAAAGCGGAGCGGGACACTATACTCGTTCAATGGGTCATCAAGCCACAGTCTTTTCAACAAAGAAATTCTTTTACGAAAATGCGTTATATTTTTACGATTTTGTCGTCACCAAATCTCTGTTTCTCAAAATGTACGTCTATTGTAGAATTTTCAGCAAACTAAGCAAGAAACGTGATCTAGTATTTACTCAACATTACGGATTTCTCGAAATACATTAAAAAATGTGACCTAGATACCTAACTGCCCCAAGCTCTTTAAATATAACACCTTAAACCAGGGTTACCAGGTGCTCAGTCACGTTGATTGTCATGTTGTACTGCGCAAGTCAGCAAACAATCTGGCGTAATAAACGTTAGGAATCATCAGGTATTGCCAGATTTTCGAATACCGGGCACCATAGTAACCGTTATAGTTGTGCTTCAAAGTTGTCAAATCGCCCCTATGGCGCAAATTCGCCACACCAGGCAACTGTGCTATAAACAAACCCTGTTTATCACTACTATTTGATAGTCATATGGTAGTTGTAGCCCTATCTAGCGCTCCATGATTTCTCTCTATACTGTTGTATCTCTACTGGCAACAAGAATAGGGATTACAAAATCATTTATACAACAATATACAAACATGAAAAATATGATTTGAACCATGAAACATTAATACAATTTTAATAGTTTGAACTTTTTCATTTTTGGAATACTCTTCTAAGCAGCAGGCGCCAGCGCCCGTTCTGCCATCTCTCTCTTTTATCACTCTTCTACTTTACCCCGTTGTCCGTCACACTCCGACGCTGCCAGATATAATCCTACAATCGAGTGTCTTTCACGCACCTACATACTTTTGTATATTTCCATCTCTCTTCCTCATCATAATGTATAATAGTGGTTTTCCCAAGGTGTATATATATATATATATATATATACAGGTGGCCCATCCATGTGTGGACGGAATATTACTCATAAACAAATACATTTTGGGACAATCTATATATGGCATATTATACATGACATTTGAGGGCACATTTCTAAAATATTGGTCATTGTACGGGGTGTCCCAATTTCGATCTACATATCAAAGTTTTGATTTTTCCAATAGAATGTCTCAAATTTAATTGCATATTTGAATAAACCGATTCAAAAGAAGAACATTGATATAACATATTATGCGGTTTTGGTAATTAGCTACTGAGATATAAGGTGTTTTGTCTAGAAAAACCTCCCACTTCGGCAACCCCTCAGTCCGCCATTTTGAAATTTGGAGTGCTTAATTTTATATCAAAAAAAACTTACACACCCCAGCTTTTATCTCATTTGTTAATTTGCAATTTTGATTTTTGCTCATACAGGGTGGTCAAAAACGCAAATTGTAGTTTTTCTGTATACATATAAGAGTTTTTACGGCTATTTTTTCTGTTATTAGCACGCTTTTTATGGAATGGCTTAATTCGCATCATCCTTGGAAACAAATAAATTGTTTATTAGTTACAAACTGTCAAAATTAGCTTTGTGAGTATTATAATAAAAACGTGTTTGACATAGTTTAGAAAAACTGAAGAAGCACGCTTTTATAGCTAACCGAACTAATAAGTAGTAAACAATTTTTAATTTTACAAAGGATTTATATTATAATAGTGGATGGTCGAACAATCAGTCACAATTACTGACCTCAAAATGAAATTATAATAAAATTTAAGTTTTTAACAGAATAATTCAATTCAGAGTAAAAAGCTTGGGGTGCATTTTACTACAGTTTTCATAACTCTCCTCTCATAGATAGATGGCAATAGAATGATTGTAACTTTTAATATGTCAATTGAATTATTCTGTTAATAACTTAGATGTTATTATAATTTTATTTTGAGGTCATTAATTATGATTGATTGTTCGACCATCTAGTACTGTAATATAAACTCTTGGTAATTAAAAGTTATTTTCTAGTTTTTAATTCGGTTAGCTATAAAAGCTTGTTTTTTTAGTTTTTTTAACTATTCTAGTCCTAAGAATTATTCGTCGGATTTCCGTCACTTAAATTTCCTGTAATTACTACTTAATAATAGACCGTGTTCCACATATCAAAGATGCAACATTAAATATCAGCTTCCCCTAACACCCACTTTTTAGGTACTACATTTTTTTATGACAACGATTAGAAACCCCTGAAAGTCAAAATCGGAGTTTCCACTTTTGATATTTTCTTCGTTTTTTGCCTATAGCGCGGCCGTCACAGGACTGAAACCTCAAAGCTTTGGCATAGTGGAAATTTCCAAGTCATGGACGGGCAAAGGATTGGCAGACCGTCAGACGGAAATGATATAGTTTTTCGTGCCATATAAGACTTAAAAACACAACTGCGCGCTTCGAAACTGATGCTTCATCTTTGAATATTTTTGATTGAAATTTTTACAGCTTGCTGAGAACAAAACCGTACAGGGTGCAATCGAGACACTTTTTCATTTTTTCCACTAGGCTCTCTTTAAAAAAATCGCAAAGTTCAACAAAAAGAGTAGGCATTTTAACCCACCATAAATCTTGTGCAAAAAACTAAGTTTAAAAAAATGATCCGTTACCACCCTGGGCAATTGTCTTCTGAACCTGCTGTATCAGTTTCATTCAAAAATATTTAAAAATGGAGTTTCAGTTTCGAAGCAGCTAAACCCTTGTAAATGACTTGAAACTCACTGCGTCGGAGGATAATCCTTCAAACAACTTCTGAATATCTGCTTCTGAATCAGCCAAGAAGCATTACCTACTTGAATAACAATAATCGCAGCAAATTCGCAGTCATAACACTTGAAATCTTGCGCCGCACAGTGGTTCAGAAAGCACCGTTTCAAGTATCAAGATTTCTAATGTTGTTACTGGTAAACCGATTTTTATGAGCCATACCTCATTAGAAAGCTAAAGAGATTCTCGTTGAAACATTGTATCAAAAATTGTCAAATGACAAAAATTGAAGTTGGCTGCACTATATAGAGCGTCCCCAAAGGCTCTTTACAAAATTTTAGCACATATTACTGAGTTCTAAATAAGCCGACTTGACGTAACTTACTTTAGTCCAAAATTGCTCCAATTCCGAGATACAGGGTGGCAAAGTTAGAAAATAAAAATTCTTTTTTTCTAATCCATGAACATTTCTTCAAATATTGGAACCGGGGGGTTTTTGGGATGCGAAATCCGAATATCGACATTGTGGAAGTTCGAGAGCGCTTCACACTGCACTTCGGATCGTTTTAAATGGCCACAACTTGTTTCTCAGTGTAGTTTTTTAATTTTTTATAAAATAAACAATTTCCTCGATATGTTTAAGCAAAAAAGGCACTTTTGTTAAAATAGGGCAAATTTCTGCATGAATGCGGGTTGTGGGGACCCAAAATCAAAATGCTCAGAACTTTACAAAATTGACAATGTGATAGATCCCGTCAAAATAAACAGTTTTTTTCCCATAATAAAGATGTGAATCAAATTTAGTAAAAATAGCTGTAGTCTCAAAAAACTTATGACGAAGAAACGATATTTTTTTAAACGTTTATCTCGAGAATTAATCATTTCTCACTGAATCTTTATAGAAAAAAAATGTTTAATTTTTATGCAGCATCTAGAGGGCTACGCTATAATTATTAATTTTAATTTGAACTTTTTTCTATATTGAACTTAATAGGTCTGGGCTTTCTGTGATTACAGTTACGTCATAGAGCACGTCTAAATTTTAACAAAATTTATGATTGAAAATTTTTGAAGTTAAAGAGTTATAAAAAATTCATTTTGCGCTACATACAGCTGGTCCAAAGCTCTTTGGCGGTACATGTTTGACCGTCATCGAGGATCTTACAGATTTTGAAAAATCTGTATGTGTATTTTGAATCATGAAGATTATTGCATGTGTAGTACTGTTAACCTCAAAAAAGTAATATAGAGATTTTAGCATGGATGTACTTGTCACCATATTCGAAAGTCCAAAGTGGTAAGACTCTTACCAAACTTGCATTCCTTAACATATGATAAAGATTTTATGGTATATGAGACCTCACGCTAAAAGTATTTTTTGAATGAATTACACATACAGATTCTGAACATCTTAAATTTTTTGATGCTGGGATGACCTGTAAAGAAACATTGAAAATAAGCGTTTTTGATAATTTTCCCCGAATATTTGGTCACTGCATCCTAAGTTTGAAACTGTCAGAAAACTAAGTTTGATTATATTAAAAATGTCACTACCCCAAAAAGGCACTTGATAACTAAGACCAAGGGTTACAAGAAACTTAAAAAACATAAAATGGAAATTCATGCCGTTTTTTCTTCGTACGCCATGATCAATATCAATAAAGATTTTTGAATATGATTTTTCAAAATCTCATTTCTTATATTCTACAAGCTTCAAAATCCATTTTAAGAGGTTCAGAAATTGTATGTTTGTACAAATTGAAAATATTTCGTATTAATGCATCAGAGCTACTAGACATTTCTAATTATTTTATTTTTCATACTTTTTTACAATTAAAAATTATCACAAAAGTGACTATAACAAGGACAAAATGGTGAATGTGCCTTTCAAAATGCGAAACTCATGCTAAAAAGTGGAAAAAACCAGGCTAACTCCTGAAAGGCAGTATTATGAATACCAATATTCAAAAACTACTGAAAATAAGTATGTTACCATTTATTCATTCTTGATATAATGTGGCATTTCGATTAAATGGAGAAATATGGTGTTGAAACATTAAATCCAGAGCTTCTCAAGTATTTTTAGATTGAGCGTGCAGAATAAAAGGCAAAACTGCACAGTAATACTAACACTCTTAGAGAAATACCATTATAACAGATAGTCAATATCGAATCGAAAATAGAAGACTTTTACCTTTATCAGCCAGCGAAGTTGACCGGTACACTGAACTGAAAATTTTTGAACCAAGCTCGGACAGAAAATGGACTTCTGGATGTCGGTGGTACCTATTTTATACTATTCGTCACCCCACCCGATGGTCGTACTTATCATATAATAATAACAACGGTCAGAATGCACGTACAGCATCGAATAAAATTATAGAACGGGAACTTTTCGATTTTAAAGCCGAATTTCGAACTTATGAGTCCGCTTTCTTTTTGGGCATGTATGAAAACGTTTTTGTCTCAATTTATCTCAAGCTTTTTTGGATATAGCGAGTATTTTTGCCTAACTCTAAGCTTAGTACTATCGAAGTGCTATTAGAAAATCATTGTTACCGGAGTAGAGACCAAAGGTGTGTTTTAGGATATATCACACGGATGGAGTGGGCTATCAAATGGCCTTAGTGAGTCACAGAGACCTGTCGAAGTATAGAGCTGTCACATAATCTCAAGACATTGACAGTGTATAGAGTCATTTTGTTACGTCACGAAGGAAGAGGTTGAAATGTACGTTTGCTTCCTGTCTCTACAACAATGACCAAACACAGAAAGCGCTGTTTCGTGCTCATTAGCAACTCCTCAGTGCGGTATTGGTACAGTAGTCCTGGAGACAGACGTATTTAACCGTTTTTGTTTTTGAAGAAATACGAACTCGCTTAAATGGAAGCAAAGTGGCGGATTTAGGTAATGAACTAAATGCCGCCTAGAAAGTTTCGAAATTCAAAGTACTCCCGGAGAGAGACGGAAGAACCCGAATTTTTTATGACTTTATTTCAAAATAAATTACACATTAACGTTGCCACTTTTTCTCCTCTACTTAGAGCTTCAGTATAACATTTCGTCCTTGTAATCCAGCAACAACTTTATCTTTTATTATAGACACCATATTGGATATTTGCACAGATGAATAGAATTTTTAATTATGATTCCAAAAATGTATAATAAATCATACGTTGACATTGCCATACTTTAGTTATTTCAAAGAAGCAGAATTTCCTAGGGTGGCCTTGAAATTATCAGATAGGCATTTGTTTCGCAAACCCGATTTATCCCAAAAGGGACCCGTGTTTCATCAAATTCTCATCACTACGAGAAGAAGCTGTTGAATCATACTTTGTGGTGTATTAGGATTTTGATTTTTTTAACGCTTATGTTCATGAAAGCAGTCAACGTTTTCATCTACTTAGTAGACATCGTTTTAAATGGAAAATAAACGCACTAATGGCCCTATATTGTGGTAGATCCAGACGCTTTGACGACATTGAAGAGATCTAGAAAAAAACGAGAGTAGCTGTCTGATATTTCTAAGAAAGGCTTCAAAAAATGTGTCGAGCAGTGGAAGCACCGGTGGGGCAAGTGTATTAGTTGTAGTGGGCAGTATTAAGGTTACTTTGTAAAAAAGTTGAAAATAAATAGCTTTTAAAAAATAATTCCGGTTTTTTGGGTACCCCTCGTATAGGATAAATGTTTGCACATCGTTTGGTGCAAGAATCAACCAAAAAAATATTTTGTTATCAGTTTGGTATTAAATTATGATCCAATACCATTACTAAATTGGTATTTTTTTCGATAGAAAATTCCTACAACTAACAATATTGGAAAGCTTCTATCGATTTTGAACTAATAATAAAACATTGAATTGACCGGTTTTTGCACCGAACCCTTAAATTGCACTGCTTTACAAAATAGTGTGAAAATGTGACTACACATTGTTGTAACGGCTTAGTTTGAATAATAATATTCTCAAGGCGCAAATGTCACAATATTCATAGTTGTGACTTTAACTAGGTGTTTCTAGAAAAGTTTCAGTAAATTAAAAAAGAAAATTATTAATGAATCCCGATATAAAATGTCATTTAGAAGTCAACTTCTTAAATTCGAGTAGCATCCACCATTTTTGAAAGCAGATATATTGGAGATCCTATATAGTTTTCATATATGAAGTCAGGCGGACATAAATGGACAAATTAATGCTATCGAATGTGACAGTGACAATTCCACACAGGAATGAGTGGGAACAGCAAGTTAACCTGATAAGGAAAGATATCTGTGCATACACAGATGGCTCCAAGACCGAGGTAGCTGTTGGAGCTGGTATCTACGTGCCGAAGCTAAAAATTAAAAAATCTGTTAACCTAGGAACCTGGTCATCGATTTTCCAGGAAGAGCTATATGCTATAGAATCATCGCAGAACCACAACTGAGGCACAGAACTATTATTTTTTCAGATAGTCAAGCCGCACTTAAAGCACTTGAATCCACCTACTCGACATCGAAATTAGTGTGGAATTGCAAAGAGGTTTTCGGTAGCATAAGGGAGGGAAATGAAGCCCGTCTCATATGGATACCAAGACAAATGACACAGCTGACACTATGGCAAAGAGTGTGGCTAGCACACCCTTCATAGGACCTGAGCCAGCGATTGGGATCGCATACAATACGGCTAAACAAATAATCTCTGCAGAGATGGACAGAAGGATCCATTAATACTGGGAGGGATTAGCAGGGTTAACCCATCTTGACAAAGAAGGACACAGACTCTTTGGTACAGCTGAAGAGGAATAGCATCAATGCTCTAATAGGACTGTACACTGGTCATTGCAGACTGTACATGGAGGGAGATGAAACGGTCAAGCATGTATTGTGCAGATGTCCTACAATCGCCAGAATCAGGTACAACATACTTAGAGACGTAGTACTCCAATCAGAAGACCTGAAGGATATTTCTCCAAACAAGTTGATCGACTTCCTCAGGAGGTCGGAGCTAATGGGGGAAATATAAATAGGTGTGAGTCACAATATACCAGAGAGTCGCAGTGGAGGATTGTGATTGATGCACCTACATCCTAGACCTAGATGCTATCAAATAATTCATCATATCAAACGACGTCTAAGGTCTAGGTCATACCAATTACCTTTTTCGTTTTTTTGGAGCTTTTGTTCAATCCCTTTTTTTTTGAAGCGCATTGTATTATCAGACGTTACAGTTTGACCTACTGATTTGCCTAGCCCTGATTCACGTATGAAAATTGATGCTAATGTAGGATCTTCAGCTGATTACGGTTCTACTGCCAAAAATGTCAGTTGCTATTAGAGTTGGAGAACTCGTAATTTCAGACAAATCTTGTATGAAACCGTTCTCTCTAACTGTAGAGGTTTAGCTGCTGTCCTCCGCATACGCTTATGTGGCCCACAGTGTAGTCTAACCTTTTCAAAGTAGATTTTCAATTATTGAGAAGGGGAGAATCTCAGATGTGACACATTTACGCTAGGGGATCTAATCTCATTTCGGATAATGCTTTGGACGCCGAAATGCAGTATACGATCGGATATCTTCAGGTCGAATACGCTATAAACTGAGAAAATATGTTCTCAATTTTTTTATTATTTTATATTTTTTGTTTCAATACGGCGCCCTGCCAATTAGGCTTCTTCCTGCATGGCTGCGTCGATGTTAAAAGTGGGAAATAATATTTCAAATCTGTTATCAATGAGAAGCAAAAGAATTTATGTCAAAATCATTTGCCGTGCAAAATTATCGGAATAAGCGCAATGTTCATCTGTTTGGTAATTATGAATCATGTGTTATTTAGACTCGAATATATTTTTTTCTAATCTTAATGGACACTTGCTATAAATATTTATTGACGATGCATGCTTGCATACCTTCCCGGTGTATAGCCATAATGATAATGTATTATCAATAATCATTCTTTTCTCGAAAATGGCGACAAGAGCAATCGGCTTACGAATTCCTGTTAATCTACTGTTATAAAATGCCCTCACTCATTTCCATTTAATTTTTTAATAACTAGTACTCGACTAATTTGAAAACATGGTGGATGCGCTATAATGTTGCATGATTTCAAAAAAGTCTGTTGACAAATAGACAAAAGGGAATAAAAATGAAATAAACGTCAGACTATACAGTCATTTTATTAGATTTTAATGAAAAAGCTATGAACACATATGATATACTGAAAGAAACCCTGCAAACACCCTTTCAATGCTGATACTGTTTGGTATGATTGATGAATAGGATAATTTCCAACATCCAACTTTGTTTACCACTGAAAGTTGGAAATTTGCAATAAGAACTTCAAACACTTATTGATGAAAAAAATTTTTTCCGAAATTATAACATACCGAATGCATACCAACATTGAGATAATCTATGATATACCTACTGAAATAAAATTGATATTAAAATACTAAACCCTTAGTTCTGTTAATTATAGTACTTTATAATTCTGAACTGGTTCATTTATGGAAAATACTTATTTTTGAAAATATCATATAACAGAACATCAACAGTTCAGCTTAAATAATTAAATCATCAGATCGTTAGAATCAATTTTTCCAAAAATAAACCAGATCAAATTTAGATGAAAATATACTTCTAAGTAACTATTAAATTTAAATTAATACTAAGATACTAAGTCTACCAGTCATAATACATGACGTTTTTGACTTAACTGATTTTAAATATACGCCAGTATATAAAAAATCGTGTTTGGAAGCATCATTAATTAAAACATCAAAAATTCAAGTCAAGTTTATATAAAAAACGGTACTGGCTATTTAAAATCAATTATTTCATGAATATTTATCCTAAACTAAGCACGAAAAAATACTTCACTAATAACAAGTACATACTATTTAAAAACATTATGCTAAATATTATATTTTAATTTTATAGTAACTAGCTATGCCCTATCGTAGTCTTTATATGCGGGCATATTTTTGTTGTTGTTTCACCCTTACTCTTTAGATCTTCATAATAATTGTAAGTCGTGTTTGTTCTTCAATAATAAATATAGTAGAATAGTATGATAGAAGATTAATATAGTATAAAAAACTAAGACTTAATACTAAATAATGAAATGCTTTCAAAATAAAATCTGAGTCTTAGCACTTCATCAGAAATCACTGATTCTTTGACGTAGCTACCCACAGTATTTGGTATCCCAAAGCCATGATTCATAATATAACAGTTTTATTTGCAAATATAAATACACTCATACACATTTCTCCAA